TTAAAAAAAAAAAAAAAATTACACACACAAAATCGTTTTCATTTATACATTTACGGAGTTTTATTTTTAATTATCAACTAGTACAATATTTGTGTACCAGTAATTTTAAGAAAATTATAGTTAAAATTAAATAATAATAAAAAATTTATTTTAGTTCTTAAATATTTTTTTTTGAAAAATATATTATTATTTGTGTTTAAATTGATATTGTCAATTACACGACTTATCATCTTATATTATTTAATTTTTTAATTTACAAAATTTATTTTGAATGATATAACATATAGAAAAGTAATGCATGCATGATTTAGTTAAAAACTCATGTAAAACTACATAACACCAAATTTATATAGGATTATCTTAGGAAATACTCCCATAATAATATGATATAATTAATGAGAGGCACTAAGGGCATGATTGGATATGAATTCAACTAGTAAAAAAATAGTTTTCTTTTAACTATAGTTAAGTTTGAATAAAGTTGATATGGTTAGTTGTGAAATATATTAAAATAATATGAAACATAAAATAATTAAAGTTGATTTGATGTAAAAGTAGAAGAAAATGAAAGGAAGTGATAGTTAGTTAAAATTATGTGAGTTGATGAATAGTAAATTAAAGTTGATGTGATATGTAATAATGATTAATTGATATTATTTAATTATATTGATAATATTGGAGATAGTGCAGTTGAGTTAAATTTGAGTTTGAATTGAGTTTTTTTACTGTGCAATGCATATACAATCGCTCCCTAAATTTATGTTAATGAAAGAGATATTTATAGGAGTAATAATGTAAGATGAAATAATTATTTATGATTGATTCCAAACCGATTATATTTTCAATTTTTTTATCCGAACCTAAATAAGAAACATAATAATTTGACACGTATGATTCCTAAGCGTTCGAGCCTGCCACTTAAGCTCTGCACGCTTTGAATTAATCTAGAGGGGGGATACAAATTTTTTTATCGCTTATAAATGGTTAATTTAAGGTTTGTTTGTCACTGGTCTTTTTGCATTGTTTTTGGTAACTTAATTATAATATTTTATGTATGGTTTTATTTTGAATATCGAATTTTTTGTAAAAATTAAAAATAAAATAAAAAATGTAATAAACATAGGAAAGGACTTTAATTAACATTAATGGTAGCACAACCATCTTATAGTATATGAATATTAACTAATAATTTTGTATTTATTTTAAATAATAAAACAAGTATATTAAATATTTTTTCAAAAAAATACATTAGTTTTTTATTTAAAACGACACTCGTTGCGGGTAAGATTTGGTACAAATAAATCTATGCGACATAGATATAAAATCGAATACCATTAAAAATAGTTAATATGACATGTAGTATATAAATAATTTAACAATAAATACAAATATTATTATTTTTAAAATGTATTCAAAACATAAGTTAATCAAATGTCTTATAATGTTAAGAATCCTAATAGTAGTGTTGATATGTGAATTTGAATCGACGGTTAATCAAGAATCAATTATGGATTGGATAAATATAATCATGAAATAAAAAGGGATTTTATGGTAAGAGTAAAGAAGTTTACATTTGAACGAGGTCGGCCTCTATAAATTTCGAGACCGTACATTTAAGTTGTGTTGCCCAAATTTATTGCGAATGATTGTTGTCTTTGCCTGCTTACAGTTTTTCTTATAATGTTATGAGTTGCCCGCCACAAATAAAACATAGGACTATTTATAGCCAAACACCCTTGATTACTGTTCATTTACTATTCACTAAGTCATGTTGCACAGTAAACCAGGATGACATGCAT